ATTACATGGCAGTTAAAATGAAAAAAGAAGAGCTTCATTTTATCAACATAACTCTGAAAAAAGTAAGCTACAGAAGGCAATACACATCATGACAACTTCAAAATAAAATATTTAGACATGCAAAATAATAGATTATGGATACTTACATGTATACTAGAAGTACAAAATCATACATGGACATGAACTATATCAGAGTGGGAGTTCCCTCTGATAAAGGAAGGAGAATAGGATTGGGGTAAGACACACAAGAAGGCTTCACCCACATTTGTAATGTTTTATTTAAAAAAATAACCCGAAACGAACACAGCAAAACATCAAAGTTAATAAAGCTTGAGGGTGGGTATGTGGGTGTTCATCAAGTCTGTATACTTCTGCAAACGTGAGAGGTTACCTTTACAAAGAGAATGGCAAGGTTAGCAAGCTTAGCAAAAGTGACTCACATGCATGCGGCACTCTTGTCTTCATGCTGTCAGAGGTGGTTCACACTGAGCCAGAGTCTTCCACGAGGGAGAGCAGCTAAGCCAGCTTGCCTCCCACCCTGCCTCGCTACCGTAACCCTCATTTCCTGTGTCCCATCTTCCCAGGTGACTAGCTGTGCTTAGAGGAAGAAGACTGGCTCACAGGCCTCCAGCCTAGGCCACCTGCCCCACCTGGAATGCCAACAAGACACGAGACTGATGACAACAAGCCTTCTTCTTGCCGCCTCTTGTGCCCTCCACTGTGGACCACCTCCTTCAGTGACTTCACTGGGGAAAGCAGCCATGACCATGGCAGAAAGCAGGATCTGGCACATGTGAGCCCCCAGATGTAACATCATTTAAAGGGCACCAACTTCCATCTGAGGGTGGTGGCAAAGGCAGCTCGCCTGCGACTTAATGGACTTGTTCTTCTGCTGAGCACAGAAAGCTCTCTGGTGTGTCCCCCTGGCAAGCCAATGACATTACCTTTATTAGTTTACCCCAAACTCTTTCTCAGGAAACAAACTCTGTGCTTTGAGCCAAAAACCCCATGGAGATTAAAGTCATTTTAAACTCCATTTATGAAGGGTCAGAAAAGGTTCAACTTTCTATACTCACTCTTAAGTAAAACTGTGTCATGTTTCTTGCAGCAAAACGTTAATAAATTTGTTGTGAACAGAGAATCAGGGCTCATGGCGGTCTACAAAATTAGATTTCTCAGGAAAACCTTGGCCTGAGCTCTTCAAGAGATGGTCCTTTATGACCCAAAGCCACTAGAAATCCACACTCAGTGAAGTACTTCTATCATTTCACTCTGTATCCTGCCTAGACCTGACAATGTCTCCCCAGAGCCCTTGAAAGGAAACCGAAATTTACCAGGACTTAGGTGGTCCTTGGTAACCCAAGCCCTCACCCGGACTAGGTCCAGCTCGTTCATCCCTGTAACACCAGCACTCAATGCAGTGCCAGGTGCCTGATAAAGGCGAGAGGAGGGGTACCTGGGTGACTCAGTGGGTTAGGCCTCTGCCTTCGGCTCAGGTCATGATCTCGGGGTCCTGGAATCAAGCCCTACATCGGGCTCTCTGCTCAGCAGGGAGTCTGCTTCCCTCTCTCTCTCTCTCTGCCTGCCCCTCTGCCTACTTATGATCTCTCTGTCAAATAAATAAAATCTTTAAAATAAATAAATAAAGGCGAGAGGACACAGGACCTCTTCTCCTTCCCACCCCATCTCCCTCTAGCCTCTTAGGTTCCTACAAGTGGCAATAAAAAAAATTAAAAATTAAAAACAATAGCCACTAACCACCCAGGAATCCCCAGGAGGAAAGTGCACTTGCCCTGCAAAGGAGAAAATTATGAGATTTCACACTGATCCATAGAAAGCTGAGAAAAGCAGGCAACTGGTGACATGTCCTGAACCAGAAGGTCATACATGGTATCGCAACAGAAAGAAATGCAGACAGTCAAGTGCTGGCACACAAATCCAGCCACCAAGGCACAGGCAGGTCCCATTTCCTCCCTAGTCCACCTGGCATATGGTTCCTCTCTCTTGCACAAAACGGCATGGCCTTGCAGACTCCGGAAACCAGCCGTCGTGGCCTGTAGGTGCTCTGTCGCAGGAGGCACGGCAGTCTCGCGTTAGCACACATCTTCGGCGACAGGTACTTCCAACTGACAAAATGCCAGAAGCAGGAGAGGTGGCCATCGGTGGGCAACCAGTGATGATCCCTTGCATTCCTTGTCACAGGGTGGTGTGCCACGGGAGGGCTGGAGGCAGCTGGGACCAGCTCAGGAGAGCCTCCCATGAGCACGACTTCCCAGCTCCACTGGGGTGACGTCAGCTTGGTTGTCAGCTATCTGCCTTGGCAGGAGGTGTACACCACAGACAATGGCAAACGCCACAAAGCAGCGCCTTTTAAGTTCGTTTCTCAGGGTGAGTTATTATACAGTTACCTGCATATAACTAGTTATTGGTAACCCTGTTGGCGTGTCTCAGACTTGGGTCCAGTGCATCCCGTGCTGACAGGCACTTACTGCTCTCTGAAAGGAACGCTGTCCATTTCCTATGGTGCTTCAAGTTTTCAGTTTCTCATTAGTTTTCTGGAAAAAAGCGGTATCCTTATCAGCAAGGGCCCTGAGTCTCACTCACTTCTACATCCATTTCACTCCACAAATCAAGCCCTCCCTCGTTTCCAGCATTCTTTTCAAATATGTCCATCCCCAAGTGTCACTCACCATTTCCTTTTGATTTTGTAAGACCCTCTCTCGACCTTACATTGTCCTCCCCTTCAGAGCCAAGCCTTTCCAAATACACTTGTGTCCCCCAGCTCCCCATAAGCTCCCGCCCACTCCTCACCACAGAAAGCGGCTCTCAGAAGGTCAGGGATGACAGAGGTACCAAAGCCTCAAAGGGCGCCTCAGTCCTTATTTGATCCAGTGACACTCCCTCCTCTGGAAGCCTCTTGGAACTCCGTGGCCCCATTCTCTGTGGTTTGCCCTCTCCCTCTATGCCTCATCCTTCTCCGTATACGGGGTTCCTTTCCTTGTCCTGAAACAGTGATATAAATACATAGAAGACCCACCCAACTGTCAGTTATCGATCCTGCTGGGGGGCTGAGGGTGCAAAATCTATAAAACTTAGATTGTCCACATGTTCCACCAAAATGTGGAATTCTAAAAAATCAAGTGAGCCCAAAGTTTCATCCTGCTCTATAAAACACCTCCAGTGGCCCACTGTCAACACTGTCCCACAGGGTGCTGGGGTCACATGCAAGCTGCGGTCTCCCAACTCCGTTCTCGTCCAGGCTACTACGTTCTAGATCTGCATCCTCACAAGCTGGAAAGCCACCTCCACCCAGGGTCTTCCGCACACACCTCAAACCCAGCACTTTACCCCGCCCCTCTGCTACACCCCCTCCCAATCGGGGCAGGGCCCCAAAAGCGTGCAGACACAGGGGCCTTAGACCTCCTATCAGCCATGCTGATTCTGTGTCCAAATTCCCCTCAAATCAAGCCACTCGTCTGGATCCTCAAGCTATTCCTGTTTCAGGCCTTCATTTACCACCTAAGTTAGGGCAAAAATCGAATGGGACTCCCTGGGTATAATTTCCCTTCTTCAATCTATCCCCCAAACTATAACCAGAAAAATCTTACTAAAATACAAATCATAACATATCACCCTTCCAACTAAGAGCCCTCCACAAATCCCTAATCACTGTATTAAATCTGCAACTGGTCACAACAGCATTGAAGAAAAACTCCAACTGGGGACGCCTGGGTGACTCAGTGGGTTAAGCCTCTGCCTTCGGCTCAGGTTATGATCCCAGGGTCCTGGGACCGAGCCCCGCATCAGGCTCTCTGCTCAGCAGGGAGCCTGCTTCCCCCTCTCTCTGCTGCTCCCCCTGCTTGTGATCTCTCTCTGTCAAATAAATAAATAAAATCTTAAAAAGAAAAAAGAAAAAAGAAAAGCTCCAACTGACTTCAGAGCCATTTCTTTTTTTCTTTTTAAATTTTATTTATTTGACAGAGATCACAAGTAGGCAGAGATGCAGGCAGAGAGAGGGGGAAGCAGACTCCCTGCTGAGCAGAGAGCCCGATGTGGGGCTCAATCCCAGGACCCCGGGATCATGACCTGAGCCCAAGGCAGAGGTTTTAACCCACTGAGCCATCCAGGCGCCCCACAAAGCCATTTCTTATCTTCCTCCACCACCAGCCCTCTCATTCCAGTCATGCTAAACAACTTTGAAGCTCCCCAGAATGTATTCTGTTTTCACTGTCTGTCAAAGGTTCCCTTGCTAAAGTAGCTTTCCTAGAATGGCTCCTTCTTCCTGAAGGCTGGGCATGGATACCCTTTCTGTGTTTCCCATGATAGCTACCTCATCATGGGGCTACAACACTACTGTAACAGTCAACTCGTCAGTTTACTACAAGCTTCTAAAGGCAAAATGTCTGATTTCTGTACCTATACTGATACGGAGGAAGGGGCTAAATAAATATTTATAAATCTCAGTCTCGAAAAGGCCCTCAGAATTAACTCTATTTCTTCCTTCATCCCTTCATCGAATGCCTGTTATCCTGTGTAACCAACTGCTAAGGGAATGTCCAGCCTCTTGAACACCACTGATGATGGGGAAGTCGCTTATTAAACACCGACGTCAGCAAGGCCTCATTCTGGACATACACGCAAAATTCACTAGAAGGAGCTCACAGCTCACAGTCTGTTGACACCTCATCTGACAAGAAGATCAAGTCCCTGCTGTGGCTGTGGAGGGAAGTTGCTGACTTTCAGATTTGTCACTGGTTTCAGAAACACCTAGAAGAAAGAGCACTGGGGGAAGGGGTGCAGGTGCCTGCTGGAAATGAGTCTGGGAACAATAAAGTTGGTTCATTTTCATATCGTTAACATAGCTAGGACTTCTCCAAACTCTTTTTGCCCAACTTCTGTCTTCAATGTTTAAAGCTCCAGAATCACCACATTGTCAAAAAGCAAAGTCTAATGGGACCATTTTGCCCTAATTCCAGGAAAGTCTAAGAGAACAGAGAAAATATAATTAAAGTCAATTATTTTATTGAAGGAGAAAGTTACACAAATATTAACTGACTGCTGGCAAAGGGAAGAAACGTGTTGGAAGTCAGGTATGTTGGCAAATGAGAGAGCGTATCTAAGGTTCCACCCAACAAATATTCAGAATCAGGGTTTCCGTCTTTCTCCGTAGGTCACTTCCCATTCAAAAGATTCTGGAGACCAAATGAGGTAAGATTCTTGCAGGTAAGACCTTTAAGTCTTTAGGTCTTCTCTCAGCCACGGCATCCAGAGAAAGGATACAGGCAAACCTCAGAGATACCACAGATTTCGTTCCAGACCACCAAAATAAAGCAAGTACCACAACAGAATAAGTCAAATGAATGCTTTGGCTTCCCAACACATACAAAAGTTATGTTTATATAATATTGTAGTTTATTACATGTACAGTAGCATTATGTCTAAAGAACAACATACATGCCTTACTTAAAAAATACTTTATTGCTGAAAAGTGCTAACCGTATCATCTGAGCTTTCAGCAAGTCATAATCCTTTGCTCGTGGAGGGTCTTGCCTCAACGTTGCTGCAGCTTCTACACCAGCCTTTGCTGCTTCACCATGCACTTGTACGTCCTAGGGATGGCTTCTTTCCTTTAAACCTCACAAACCAATGTCTTCAAACTTTTCTTCTGCAGCTTTCTCACCTGTTAACCCTCACAGAATTGAAGAGTTAGGACTTTGCTCTGGATTAAGCTTTGGCTTAAGGGGATGTTTGATCTTCTGTCCAGAACACTAAAACAAGGCTGTTTCACTTTCTTAACGTTTTTGTGTGTTCACCGGAGTAGCACTTGTACTTTCCTTCAAGAACTTTCCCTTTGCATTCACAACTTCGCCGACTGGTGCAAGAGGCCTGGCTCCAGCCTATCTCAGCTTTCAATGTGCCTTTCTCACCGAGCTTAATCATGTCGAGCTTTAGACTGAGAGTGAGAGATGGCAGACTCTTCCTTTTACGTGAACACTGAGAGACCATCATCATAGGATTACTAACTGGCCTAATTTCAATATGTTGAGTCTCAGGGGAGAGGGAGGCCCAAGGACAGGGAGAGATGAGGGAATGGCTGGTGGGTAAGCAGTCAGAATACATACACTGATTAAGTTCACGGTCTTATATGGGCACGCTTGTGGCACTCCAAAACGATTACAATAGTAACATCACAGATCACCATAAGAAATATGATAGTGATTATAAAGTTTGAAATACTGTGAGAATTACAAAATGTGATACAGAGACACAAGGTGACAAATGCTGTTGGAAAACGCGCCAATAGACTTGCTCGACGCAGGGTTGCCACAAACCTTCAATTTGAAAAAATGCATTATCTGCGAAGCTCAATAAAACGAAGCACAATAAAACGAGGTATGCCTCTAATTTATTTTTCAGATTCCTCTGTGGGATTAAAAAGTCTTTTTCTCATCGCATTGCCATGCTCCCTGCTCTTGGTCCTCTTTTCCATGTACTGGAAAATAAAAGGAAGGGGGGAGAAAAGAGACAGCAGATTATATTACCATTAGTATCAGCTGAGTTAAATATTTTAAAATATTTGCAAAATAGTTTTTGCTGATAAAATTCTCATTTGTCTTTTATTTCACTGAATCTGAAACTGCAAACACAGTACAGCATCTATATCCTAACAGGTGTACAAATATTTACTGAATTCATATTTTCTCCCAAAATATGAATTCAGTAAATATTTAAGATGAGTGAGTTTTATCCCTGTTCTGCAGGAACTCACAATCTATCGAAGTCATCTAATCTCTGCTTGAACACTTCTAGTAATGAGCAGCTCACTACCTGAGGTAGCCTGTTTGTTGGACACTTCTACTTGTTCCAAAGGTTTTTTTAATGTTGAACCAGTAAGTGTTTCCCTGTAAATTCTCCTACTGCCCTCCATTTCTTCATGCAAATATCTGATTACAGAAAACCCACTTACTACCTCTGTTTCTAGGCCGAGCATTGCTGGTTTCTACAAAGGACCACAGAACATGGCTTCTGCCTTCTAATAGCTACCACGTACCGTTTATAAGGTGCTTTAATATCAATATCCCTTATAAAAACTATCACGACCAGAATTAAATACAGTGCTCCATGCAGTCTGTCAGATGTGGACTACAGAGGACCTACTAGTTCCTACGACCTACACATTTTATTTCTATAAATATTATCAAGAGTAACTGGCTCTTGGCAACCACATTATCGTATTAGTTTACATGGAAATCTATATTCAGCTGAACTTCCCAGGATTTTTTCATTACGAATAGCCATCAAACAGGATTCTCTCCAAATCCTACATTTCTGCAGTCGGTTGGATTTAAATGCAGTTTTCACCTTGGAGGTTTTCAGCCTTGTATTTGGATCTGGCCAGAAGGTTATAAGTAACAGGAAATACACAGCCTGGCACTTAGAAAAAGCACTTGTTTAAAGCAGAGAAACGTGAATTTAAGTGCTTTTGTATGGATATATGTACAGACTTATATACACCAACAGATATATTTTAAAGGTGAATGAAGGAATCACTTTTTTTCCTTTTTCCATAGGAACCCTAGAAAAAAAAATATAAGTAAATTCAAGTTGAAAAAACTAAGTATATGTGAACAGCTAGACATCAAAATCTTTTAGGAGCCAGAGATATGGGAAAAGTCCGCAGAAATTAAAAGCAGTGACAGAGAGCTGAGCAGGAACTTGACTGGGCCCCCTGCCCAGACACCTGAGGCAATGCTGGGAAGGTTCGTGTTTACTGCATCTTCGGATCTCGTAACCTCAAATAAGGGGAGCTAAGCTAGATCATCTCTAAGAAGATTTCTAGATCTAAAGTTTTGACTGAAGAGTTCTAACAGCCCCTGGAATGATAGTTTTCAAACTTTTTTTTTCTTCTTCATCAAAGGGCCACTTCAAATTGCAGATGAAACACCAGGTCCCTTTAACCAAAATCATTCCTTTTATCTGTCACTCAATAATTTTCCTCTAAAGATTGTTGGGGGAAAGGGTATTCATCATTTTAAAAACCATTTTTTTTTTAAAGGCACTGTTCTAGAACGTAATGGGATACCTACTCTGAGAAAAATATTTGGTATCGATCTTGAATCACATATACCAGACTGCCTCCAGTAATCAGGCTGGGAGGAGGGTCTTAAGGGTAAATCTTCAGAAGATGATACGTTAGAGGCAGACAAAAAAAAAAACAAGTTAAAGAGCAAATTAAAATATAATCTCTGTTAAAATGTATGTTAAGATATTCTCAAAGGGAGTCCAGATGGCCTTTGAATAAAAGAAGAAAAAAAAGGATGAATATGATGTTATTCACAAAACTTCACTGAACAACAAAACCAAACCAAACCGAATCAAAAAATTAAGAGGGATGAAATAGAATTAGTGATTATTTCCATAGAAAGAACAAAAGCACGACACAGTAGCAAAGAGAGACTAATAAGGGAACTGGCCAGACCCTTTTTCTAGTTGAAAGTGCCAAGGAATGAAGTACTCAAAGGGCATGTGAAGGGGATGGTTAGAGGAACGCGTGAGAGGCAGGAAATGGTCAACTAGAAAGCATTAAAGGCAGAGAGGAAATACGTGAGCACAGGTTCAGAGGACCAGAGGAGGAAAGAACAGACAAAAACATCTATAAATCAGGTAATAAAGTGACATAAAAACCACACTGAGGACTTAGAAAATACGTCAAGGAGAAAATCCAAAATTTATATGAAAACAAACTCAAAGTAAGAAAAAGATATACAGCATTCTACCAAACAGTTGCTAAGAGCTCAGGACCACCTGGGAAGAAAATTCTGAATAAAGATCTAATCACCAAACCAATGGCAAAAATTAGCAAACTGTAAGAAGAAAAAAAAATCTAAACTTAGGAAAAAAGCAATCTAACACAACTGAAAATGTGAGAAATAAACATTTGTACTGAATAAAGTAGTGTGGGCTTCATTTTCTCATCCTCTGTTAAAAGGGGAACAAAGCCCTGGGTTCAGTTTTCATACAAACTAGCTTTACATGTAAATATGAAGAAAAACTCTTTAAAAATTAATTTAAAACACTTCTATATGGGGCGCCTGGGTGGCTCATTGGGTTAAAGCCTCTGCCTTCGGCTAAGTTCATGATCCCAGAGTCCTGGGATCAAGTCCCGCATCGGGCTCTCTGCTTCCTCCTCTCTCTCTCTCGCTCTCTCTCCCTGCCTGCCTCTCTGCCTGCTTGTGATCTCTGTCAAATAAATAAATAAATAAAATCTTAAAAAAAAAAACACCACTTTTATATGTACACATTTGCGCAAAGAAAATTACAACCCTTAATTCAGAACTCTAGAAAGTTCTTCAAACAGCAAAGACATTGGAAAGGGATTCTGGGAATGGAGGGGGAAAGAAAAGCTTGATTTAAAAATACAAAAGTTGAAGATAGATAATTGCTGCACAGCTTCAAATATTATACCTTTCAATATGAGGCTAATAGGAAACAAATTCAAAAATACAGAAAAGGAAAGAAAACAGGAAGGCCGGTTTTTAATATAGATTTCTAAAGGTTTGAGACATAAAACAACTGATGAACAGAACAGAAATGGAGTTAACTTTCTCTTCAAAAGCACTCTGCTATATGCCCAAGTCAAAGTCATGGCCTAAAACCGCGTCCAGGAAATGAGTCTTTCCAACCAAGTCAAACTAGATCTGCATGGCTCGTACATGCCATGGTTATGAGGAAATTCATAATTTTAGACCAATAAGGAGCCCAAGTCCAGGTCCCACCATGTTCTATGAGGAAATAGAGGCCCAGAAAGTGTTAGTTACCTGCTATCGCTAAGAGCTGATTTACCGATGTCTTTCTACTATACAAACTCAGTTTCCTAGCCCTTACAATTCATCCAGAGGAGTTGCAATGATTATAATAAGGAAACTGTTTTCATTTATGTGCATGGAAAAATTTTAAAAGTAATGTCTTCCATTTCTCCACTTGGTTTTAGGAGAGGACATACATATAAAGTGTCAAATCTCTCTGTTATACTAAAATTTGGAATACAAATTAGCAATGGGGGTATTCTAAATATTGCTCAGAAAGGTTCTATTCTACTGTTCTACCACTTTCATCCTCTAACACTTTTCTTACCTCATTCTTCAAGCATTTTCTCATCTCCCGATCGAGATCATTGCAATGACCAAAAAATTTCAGAATGCTGTGCTAAAAGGAAGAAAAGGGGTAAAATATTTCATCCCATAATATACTAAGGTCTCTGGCACATAGAATTTAAATACTTATTCTAGAAATAAATGGAATATTTTGGAAATATTTACAGAAATGGATTTAATGTGTCACCACCTTGTTAAAAAGCAAAGAGTTAAATCACAGGTATAAAACATACAAATAAATGGACTTCTCCTGGCCTTCTTAAAAGAAGGGTTAAATGCTTTATAGATAGAAATGAAAACTAAAAAGACCTCTCCTTGATAAAATGGAAGCCTATTAACCTGCCCAAACCTCACAATGACAGAATATAAACAATTCTGTTTTCTAATACCCTTTTCTTTAAGGGCAGGTGAAAATCACAGCACAACCACCATCTATCACAGGAAGCGATGTCAAAGTGTGGGGTGGCCATATTAACATGACCAGTGACTTCTTCATTAGCAAACATTCTGTCCCTTTGAAGAATTACCCAATAAATGCTCGGGGCAAACACTAATTTTCTCATTTGCCTCCATCCAAAATGTCATCAAAATATCAGAAACACATAACACCATTACTAAATGGCCTATATGGGCCATGTAAGTAACCCACTAATCCAAAATGTAAGAAAACCTAGATCTAAAGTTCAAAGTCTGCTTTCTTTGCCAAGAAAAATAAAAATCTCCTAGTGATTTCAAGGCCTATGACAATTAGCACAGCAAAAAGTATGAATGCTCTGAAGCAGATTAAGATGAAGAATGAAGTCAAGAACACGAATTTTAGTCGGGCTATAATTAGTGTGTTTGCATATCATGATTTTTAAGGAATGGGTAAGACAGCATGGTGATGTCCTATAATGACATGCCACAAGTGCTGAACTTATAATAATAAGCACCTTTTCCTTTTCTTTCTAATTAAGGCTTTCATGGAAACCAGACAACACATAATTAATAAGCTGTGCCTCATGCTAATCCTTTCTTTCCCTGCACTGTAAATGTCCTTTTCTGGTCCACAGTGGAAAAATGGGTCATTTTTTTCTGGCAAGCATTTAAGGTAAACTAAGATTTACTACTGGTCCCCTAAGGACCTTTTCAGAATAACTATTTCCTATGTATTTTTCCTAAACTATTTCCTTGGCAACAAATGAACAGGAACCATGCATTTTCACACACCTTCTGGTGAAGCAGAACAGAAAGGATCAGACTTTCAGAATGTAAGGCAGTATTTCATAGTTTGGTTTACATGGACTCATATCATCCATAAACAGACATCTTATTTTTAAATCCAAGACAGAAGCTCTTTTTTCTCTTTCCCAACATTTAAACCCAAAGAAGAATTATACTCTTGTGACATTACATGAAAAACAAACCCAAAGTGCGCCATTGGAATTGGTTTATGAAATGCCTGGGGTCTACATTTCTCTTGTACACACATGGCATAAGCCTCTAGTGTGCGATGTCTATGTCTAGAGAACCAAACTAACTGAGCAATTGATTGAATAAATGAATCAATCAACTGATACCTTGAAGACAATGTACCAAGCACCAGGGATACAGCAATGAGGAAGGTGCACCTGGGCCCTACTCACAGTACATGATCAGAGGCAAGAGCCAACTAACAAAGTGATTCCTGTAAGGCAGTAGTTTTCCAAGTGTAGTCCAAGGACACCCACAAGTTCCCAAGACCTTTCCAGGCATGTACACGGTAAAAACTATTATCCTGATAATCAAAGATCTTATTTGTTTTGTTCATTTTCATTCTCTCACAAGGCAACTGTGGAATTTTCCAGAGGCTGCACAAAGGACAATATCACCAAAGACTGAACATAAGGCAGATAGGAGGATCTGGCTATATTCCATTAAGCCAGGTATGAGAGAACTGCAAAAATGCAAAACTAATGCCATTCTTTTCACTCTGTTTTGGAAAATAAGGTTTTTTACAAAAACTTACTACATTAACATGTATTAGATTTATTATTATATTTTTATATAAACTTATATTATTAATTCCTCAGTTTTAATTTCTAATTTAGTGAATATTAGTAGCTATAGCCCACATACACGAAAGTTATTTGGGGTCTTTAATAAAGCATAAAGGAGTCATGAAACCAAAAAGTGTGAAAACTATCTTAAAGTAAGAACCATGCGACGTGTGGGGTTACTGGAGTACAGAGTGACTACACTAAGAGAATGCAGGCCAGGAAAGGAGAAAAGGAAGAGGAAGTAACAAGTGACACTGAAGCAAACCTGAAGGATGAGGAAATCTGGTCTAGCACACAGGAAGTGAGACAGTGGGAAGGGCTCTGAGACCAGCAAGGAGAAAGCAAGCACAAAGGCTTAGAAGAGGGAAGTGTGTTGCCGCACAATTGCACACAGGAGCACACAGGAGCAAGCAGAAGAGGTGCAGGAGGGTGGTAAGGCCCACGGGGTAAGTAGGGGACAAGTCCATGAAGGCCCTGAAACAACACAAAATAAGAAATTCAGATTTGATAACTTGCAGGCAAAGAGGGAAACAACGATTCAGCTTACATTTGAATATCACTCCAGTCAAGTGAAAGGGGATAAAGAGGACAAAACGGTCACCCTGGCCCCAGTAAGATAACACCGGAATTAACTGGTGTTAAGAATAGACACATAAATCAGTAGAAGAGACTACAGAGCCCAGAAACAGACCCAGCCACATATGGTCAATTGATTTTTGACCAAGACAGCACGATAATTCAGTACAAAAAGGATGGTCTTTGCAACCAATGGTGCTGGAACAACGATATCCATAGAGAAAGAAATACTGGCTCATACCTCACACGATACACAAAAATTAACCTGAAATGAATTACAGCCCTAGAAGTATAAGTTAAAACTCTACAACTTCCAGGAGGAAATCTCCATGACCAGGAAACATACAAAGATCTTTAAAAGGAAAAACAAACAAACTCCCACAAACCCACAAACCGTAAGAGAAAAAAAACCTGGTTATTAGGCCTCATCAAACTTAAAAACTGCTCTTTGAAACACAACCTTAAGAAAATGAAAAAGGATGCCACAGACTAGGATAACATATTCACAATACACTCATCAAAGGACTTGCATGTCGAATGAAAAAAAAAAAAATTCTTAAAATTAAATAATAAAGCAAACAACCCAATTTTAAAACATGGGCAAAAGAGAAAAAATAATAAATAGATAAAATTTAAATTAAAAAAAATAAAATATGGGCAAAAGACTTTATATGAACGGCCAATAAGCACATGAAAAGATGCTCAAAAACTAGCCATCAGGGAAGTAAATCTAAAACCAAATGAGACACTACTGCATACCCATATAATGATTAACATTAAAAAGACAATATCAATTCTTGATCTAGATGTCTGCTGAAAAGAATCTGCCTAAAGTATACGGTCAAACAACAACATTCTTTGAACCAACAAAAATATCTAACTTCAAAGGTCATAGGTATTACTCATTACCTTACCATTAGTCTTCAAATTTCACTCATTTAAATGATACTTATTATAATTTGATATATCTACAGTTTATGAATATCATGAGGAAAATAACACATCATGAAAAGTTAAAGAAAAACAGACATTCTCCTTATAACCGTCTCACATATCAAGTATATGAAAAAAGCTAAACAGTTAACATCTGTAAAAATACCAGCTTAATTTAATGATTTCCAAAAATGAGCTTCCTTTCTATTTTTGGTTTAAACCACAGAATTTTACTCCCATTCCACTAACAAGTGAGCAAATCTGCCAAATTAGGCCAATCATAATTTAAATCTAGCTAACATCTATTATAAAAAATGTTTCAATCTCCTTTAAACACAGAATGGTAGACATCAAAGAAAAAAATCTTAGAAAAATCTTAAAATAATTCCATTATGATCAGAAGAGTCAGAATTTAACATACCTGTTCTAGTGCCCTATAATACAAAAAAAAAAAAAAAAACACAGTATTTTATGGTAAGAACATGGATTCCAACTATTATATATTATTTCAGAAGTTCCCTAATGAACCACCATGCTTGATTTTTACTAATCAAGAAAGGAGATGGTGCCTTGAAAATCACAAGCATCAGGTACTAATCTTTGGTAAACTAAGATCCACTATATTACCATTCCTTTCCATTAGTGGAGATAACATTTTATATCAGTGTGTTGTACTTAAGTTTCATTTTTGCTTTATGGTCATTTTTCTGAACTCTTACATTTTTGTGACATTCCTTAAGTAAGTTAATCAAGACGTTGCATTCTTCAGTGTGCAAGTGTGGAGATAAGTCAGGATGCATCTTTAGGAGGTGACGGAGCACAGCAGAGCAACCTGTGGATACAAGAGTGTCCTGAATATGTGTGACTGTATTTGTTAATGCGACCTAAAACTATTTCAGTAAAAACGTGCAGTGAGCTTTATCAAAAAACAATGTTGACCTCTGGCAAATTATTAAACCTGAGCCTCAGCTTCCTTATCCAACAATTTCACAGATTCAGCAAGCCACCAGGTGTTGTTTGGAGAACCTGCAGGTTCAGAAAAAAGCAGAAGTCCTCAAGAGACCCAATCCTGGAAATAAGTGGTCCAGTAGAAACAGCTAGCCTATATTAATAAGCCTGATCTCAATTATTTTCCCCACATAACCTGAAACTAACTACAACTCCTTTTGTTCAGATGAAATTCTAAGAAATAAGAGAATGGTTTATTAATCCTTTTAAAATGCATATTCCTGAGGGAGAGGGCTAAAGCCTCATTAGCCAATCTCACGTTAATGTCAATTCATATGGACTGCTTTCTTATTCCGAACATCTGGCTGAGAAAAATCCAACTAGACAATGAAGAGAAACAAAAAGCAGATGGGAAAAAAGTTTTTCATTTTAGCAGAGATAGCCATAAAATGCAATTATTACAATGAAAGGAAGAAGCTGAATTCCAGAAATTAAATTTATCACAAAGTAAAAAATCAGCAGCCAACGTCAAAGGAAAAACATTATTTTGAAATGTCTGCCACAGTTATGTAGTACTATTTACCTATTCTTTCCTTTAACCTACTGTTTTTAACTTGGAAAACATTACCAAAAAAAAAATTAATTCTTTTAATCTACAAGTTTCAAGAAAGAAAACCTAAGGGAAAATAATGACCTTACTTGGGCAAAGAGTTCTTTAGATAGGTCAAAAGCACAATTCATAAAAGAAAAAAATTGGTACAATCTTATCAAATTTAAAAAAACTTTCTCACTTCAAAATACACCATTAAGAAAGTGAAAAGACACAGGGATGAAAAGCACAGCATAGGAAATGTAATCAATAATACTGTAATAGATTTATTGTGGTGAGCATTTCATAATGTATATAAATTTAAAAAAAAAGAAAAAAAAAGACAAGCCACACTTTGGGTGATAATGACATGTCAATGCAGGTTCATCAGTTGTAAAAACACATGACTCTGGTGGGGGATGCTGACAGTGGGGAAGGCTGCACATGTGTAGGGCAGGGGGCAAGTGGGATCTCTGTACTTTCTGTTCAGGTTTGCTGTGAACCTAAAACTGCTCTAAAAAATAACCTACAAGCTACAGACTAGGAGAAAATATTTGCAAATCATATATGAAAAAGGACTTGTTATCTAAAATACATAAAGAATGCTTATAAACAACCCAACATTTAAAAATGGACCCAAAAAACAGCCAAAAGATTTGAATAAATACTTCATAGAAGATGATACAGGAATGGTTAATTAAGCACATGAAAAAATGCTAAACACCATTAGTCACAGGGAAAGGCAAACTAAAACCACAATGAGATGTTAACTACACATCTGCCAGAAAAGCTATAATCAACAAGTCAGACAATAACAAGCATTAGTTAGGATGCAGAGAAAACAGGCCTCATTGCATTGCTAGTGGAAACAAAAAATAGTACACACTTAGAAAAGCAATTTGGCAGTGTCTTAAAGGAGTTAAACACAAACTTACCAAATGACCCGGACCACGGAAACTGCACTCTTAAGAATCTACCCAAAAGAAATGAGAACACATAGGCACACAAAGACATGTATATGAATATTCACAGCATTATTCATTATAACCAATACTGGAAACAATCCAAATATCCAATAACCTGGTAACTGGACACACAAATATGGTGTATCTAGACAATGGAATACTACTTGGAGAGGAAAAGGAATGCACTGCTACAGGCACCAACATGGGGGAACCTCAAAAGCACCAAGCTAAATGAAAGAAGCCAGATTCAAAAGACTATATGATTCCATTTATGTGCAATGTCCAGAAAAGGCAAAATTGTAGAGAAAAAAAAAAGCTGATGGGTTCCCTGGGCCTGAAAGTGAGAGTGAGGATTATTTGCCTTTGGGCACAAAGTAGTATATCTACGTGATAAAAATGATTTAGAATAGGATGTGGTAATGGTTGCACAATTGCAGTTCACTAAAATCACTGAACTCACATACAATGGGTGAATTTTATGATATGTAAATTGTACCTTAATAGAACTAATAGCAAAAAGTTCAGGAAATTGAAAAGGCCTATCTACCTTCTACTCACAAGTAAAATCCTTAAAAATATCTAAACAAATTAATTCCAGAGAATTACACTATGCCTACTACTGCAGAACTCAATTTATAAAAATATCGGCAGATCACTATTCCATTGAGTGACTTCCAACTGAGCACACCCACTCAAGGACACACGTGCACACACACGCACACACAGCATACCACAGCTGAAGATCACACATAGGGCCGTTGGGGCCAGCTAAGTGTTTGAAATGGAAATTGGAAATGCAGCCAAGTTCAAGTTTGGTTTGCCTGCCACTAACTACAAAATCTTTTTAATGACATAATCTTTTTGCCTCAGAAAAACAAGATCTCATATAGTCTAGCAATTTAAACCATTTAATATTATACCAATATATCACATTTACACCTATTAGTTATCTGGTTATCTGATTTCTGCCTCCCTTTTTTCTGAAGGAAGATGTATACTGACTTAGCCACCTAGAAAATGTCTTTATATTTTGTAAATATATTTGACAAAAAATTTTTGCATATTTCTATCAACCAATCCTCAAATGTACACTTTTACAGTTTGGAAACGAGCTCACAATGTACTGAAATGACCTCGTTAATTGGTAAATTAAATACTCTAGAAGACACTTGGCTGGTGGGATAAATACTGCACATGGTATACAAGTATAAATGCATACGTATCACGATGTATATTTTTCCTCCCTCTATTACAAAAGTTTATGTCACTGTAGACCCAGCCAGGGCACCAATAAGACGTCTTCCCTTCTACGTACTTATCCAACATAACTACGTTCAAGAAGAAAATGGGTTTCATACGGTCTCCTTTTCCTAGTCTTCTTGGTAAAAAGCTAAGCTACTACTTAACTTACAGTTCTAAACACTGGCCAAATTCCTTATCTAACAAATTCCTTGCCTTACCAGTCATTCCCTTCTTTCCTTCACCCTATCTTTTTAGTGATATATGCTTTTCCTCTTTCCCTCGATTCACCCTCTGCCCACACTCCCTCCCGGCACCCAATGTCCTCTGGTTTCTTGTAACCGTTGGTGCACACACAGGTGTACTCCTGGACTCTCAGGTGTTAATCTACAAAGCACAGCTATAAAATGATGGCACTGCTCTTAGAACACAATGATGTGAGTGCTGGTATCTTCCAGTAGTCATCTTTAAAAGCCTATCCTAATCAGCATTATTATAACTCGAAGTAACTTACGAATTGAAGAAAACGAAATGTATATTCCATATTCATTTAAGATTCCTTCAAAGCCGTAAGAATATAACTACATTATTAGTGTTGAAAATAACTTGTTAAACATTTACCACACACTAGGCACAAGTCTTACAATCCTTCCATAACTGTAGCAAGTAGGTACCTTTATAAATTCAGTGAAACCATAAGAAATTGCCTTTTTGTAGTTCAAATATGCATTACTCACATTTTCATAGTAAAACTAAGCCCCAGGTCACATAGTAAGTGGTAGAGTTACTACCCAATGCAATCTCTCACCAGGACAGATAATTCCCATTTTCAAAATAGGAAAGATGCCTTCCCAGCAGTCTGTGTAAGAAATAAATACAGAGAGTAAAAACTATTTCCCAAAGACCCTCTGGTCGGTTACAAGTTCAACAGACAATAATTCTAGGCCTATCTTCCAAAGAAGTCAATGTAATATTATCCTGTCTGTCTCCCTCAAGAAAAAGAACAGTACTATGTTTGTCCTGATCGGTCCAGTCCCAAATATTGGCAAAGTAAATATCTGGAAAGAGTGCTCAGGATTAAGATGGCTTTGACTCCAGGTTTAAACAGGAAGCCATTAATGAAACTGGGAATGTTTGCCAATTTAGGGAAGTGCACATCAGAGGAGACAGATAAACAACCTGGTTCAGTAAGACAAACAATGGATTTACAATCAAAAGTTGTAGCTTATCGGTCTGTAAATTATAACACTTTGGTTACTTAATCTGAGACTAAGTCTCTTCTTCCGTAAATTGGAATTAGCTCTTGACCTGTATCTCTGGGTGGTCCTGAGGTTTAAGATAACATATGTGGGAGAATCTGAAATAGTGAGCAGTGAGTGTGACATCTGTAAAGTATTATTTGTATCTCTGAAATACTCTGTCATATGACGGGAAAGCCTGAACTGAATTTACAGCAGTGTTTCCAAGGCATTTCCCAGGACAGAACTGGCAACCAAAGGGTGAATGTTAACAAAGGCAGGTGTCCTCTTCCAGGAGCTGTCCAACAAGGAAACAGGCTGCTCTGTGAAGTTCTTGGTTATCTGTCCTCATGTACCCCAAGGAGACTGGCTACATCAATTATGGATGCCACAGCGTATTCTTGCATTGCATTAAGTTTCTTCTCAAGCCTAAGTTCATAACTAAATGATTTTAACCTATTTCCAAAAATAAAATTCAGTCAATGGATAAAAAACTTGTCACCACTAAAAATACACGGAACAATTCCAAAAGGGTAGTAACAAAATAATTAACACCAGGTGCGCTGCTAAACAAAGGTGAAGGGAACATTCATTTGTGCTAAGACTTCATGCATGGGTGTTTGTATTAAGAAAAAGGGATAAATTCCGTTCAAAATGTTATCATTTAAACACAAAACTTCAGTCCCAGCTTTACTTTGGGATTTATCAGAAGGGTTAACTTGTCACAGTTACAATGCCTCCCTCGCCACCTCAACTCCACCCATTGCCTGAATGAAGTGTGCACACCTTTAAACCAAAAGAGCCACTGAAACTCTAAAAGATGTTCAGCTGGGACAAGCTGATCGGTCTGTAACTGGGTGACAGGTCTCTGCAAAGCAATCTGAACTTGTATTTGGGGGTAAGCTGGGAGAACAGAAGCAGTATGTTACTCGCACTAAAGGCATAACACTTACAGGCTTATTTAATCACTCCTTCACCTTATTCTACCAACTCTGAGCTAAAATTTTCCTGAGTATTCCATGATAGACAGATTTCAGCCACCAGGTGGCACCATTTTAGAAAATAAACCAAGAGTAACCAAGACATTAACCCTGGTAGAGAAAAAGCAGTAAGCGTTCTAAAACCGTTCAGCAAATCTTTAGTCACAAGGAGGAAACCCCTTATTTTAATGCCACTTGGGTTTTCTTTCAAAAGATTCTGCTGTTTGGTGTCTGCACCAGAAAGAAATTTACACTACGCTGCAATTTCTGATGTCATTTTTAGACAAACAAAAAACAAGTCCAGAAAAGTCTCTTGTGCAAAGTCTGAAGAAGCTGTTCTCTAGGAAAAACTGTGAACTTAACACTTGAGGCTTAATGCTTTGTAAAACCTATCTTTTTTAAAGTCTACTTCTCAGAAAGCACTGGAATTAGTTAAAATAGTATCTCTGCAACTATGTCAAACTACCCACCATATTCAGCAGAGGCAGCAGACATAGCAGGGTATACTACCTATCTTACCTTTTCATTTGCAGGTGCAAAGTGACCAAATCTAAACCTATGCTCTTGAGTGACTAGTGCTCCCAAATACAGACCAGGCCATATAAAATCAGTCCATATACCCCAAAGAACACACGGGCTAGTGAAGGAATATTGTTGTAAATACACACAGTAAATGCCCAATTAATGTTTGCCAAATCTTGAATTTAGGATTATTACAGATCTGAGAATTGGTTCACACCTCAACATAGTTAAAAAAAAAAAAAAAGACGAAAATAAGGCTCATTTGAAATAAACTAAGCAGGTGCAGAAGCCTGTATGTATGGAAAGGAGTTACAAGGGGCGTCACAACATAAGTTGGCCAGTGCGAACTTCTTTTACGCACTTAAGATTTTAGGTTTCACCTACTGTGAACCTACAAGCACGGTGATTTTTAAACCCAGTGAAAGGGATCTGAATGTCTCCTTTCCTTCAAAAGTGTACTGATGAGGATCTCACCGGATTCCCACTTCGCAAGACGGACTGGGGGCAACTTTGCAGCTGAGATGTGCCGTAACAAGACCCCCACCGTCTACAAACAAATGCTAAACTCCCAGCTGGTAACAATAATAATCCTACAGTTCCGTGAGCGCTCACCGTACCAAACGCTGGGAAGGGCTTCCCTTCTCACCATCGATGCCGTGGGTTACGACCATTTTACCCGCGTGGAAGCCGAGGCTCAGGGAGGAGAGGAGCCCGCCCGGGATCACTACGCTCGCGAGTGGCGGGACAGACTGCAGCGGAGTGAAAGGTCTGGGCCAAGCATGCCCTAAACTACCCGCGCGTCCTCAGCAAGTGCCTGAGGGCTGAGAGCCCGGGACAGACCTCCAGCCCCCCCGCGCAGTGGACTGCCGGCGAGCTGAGAGCCACCACCACCCTGAAGACCAGCGGCCGGACCTTCAGGGTCCCCACCTCGGAGAGCGGCGGGGGGGGGGGGGGGGGGGGGCGGGTGGCAACGGCGGGGCGCGCGCCAGCAGAGGACAGGAGGAGGGGCAGGTGCGTGTCCAGCGGCCTCCCCGGACACCGCGGCCGGGAAGAGAGCGGTCCTCGGAACGGCCCGGACGGCCGAGACTCACCGGACTCGCGGCCACAACAGGAGGGCTGAAGCGACAGTCACCAGCGAAGACTCCCCATTCAAAAGGCGGCAGTCAGGACGCTGGAGCTGAGCCACCTCCGGGTGGTGAAGGCTCTCACGCCCTCCACAGCTGACCTCGCACGGCTTGACCAGCCCTCTCCGCTCCTGACCTCTGAGGCGCATGCGCCACCCGGCCTGGACGGGCCCATTTTCGGGGGCTGTCGGGGAGGGAGAGCAAGTGTCCGGAGGAACGGTGGGGCCTAAAAACAGCAACTCGAACCAACAATCCAGATTAAAGGGGCCGAGAGTAACTGTATTTAACTAACGTTCTCCGCTGACAAGGGTGATGCGAAGACTCGGCGAGTTTCCTTCTGCTGCTCTCCCACGCGGTCCCCGTGCCCAGGGTACAGTCCAAGGAGAGCCCTCCGGGGGGGCGGGGCTGGAGGGCGGCGGGAACTGCAATTGGTGGCTTTGAAGGCGCAGCGGGCGGGAAGAGCTGCTGAGAAGACACTGCTGGCGATGACTGACTGCAAGAGACCCGCGCGCGGCGTGAGATCGGGCCCTTGAATGTGGCGGGAGCTTTGAGGAAGCCACACCCCAGACCTGTGGGGCGACTTTTCCGCGACTGCCACACGTCCCAAGGTACGGATTTGGCGCTTGGCCTCAGGTGAGGGGTGGAGGACGACTGTTGAAGCTGGGATAAGAAGGGGTAGCGACGCTTGCACATGACGTCATATCCGCCCTCAGTGGGGCGGAGCCTTAACTGGATTACGTCCTCTCCGGAGCCCCCACCCGTTGTCACGTGATGGGCTGCTGTGCTTTCCGAGGCCTGGCTTGAGGCTCTGCCCAGAGTTGGATGTTTTGATTTTTTTTCTTTTTTTTTTTTTTTAATCGGGCTTGGCTTCCGTGTTTTTTCCGTACTTGTGGTTCTCGTGTTCTTCCGTATGGTCCAGTGGCAGATCCTCAGTGTAAGAGGAGATCTACAGAAAAGTATCCTGAAAGAGTTCTTTTTTGTCATGCGTTTGTTCATTCAGCAAATGTCTTGAGCACCTGATATGTGCCAAGCGCTGTGCTATGAAGAGCCAGAAGTAAAAAGAAATTAGATAGTCACGGGGAATCAGCTGGGTTAACGCAGGGTTTTACCAACCTTATTGGTGAGATTGAGTGCTCCTACCAGAAGTCTGTAGAAAGGCATTTCGCAAACTTTACCCGGAATTAAGAATCTTCTGAGGCATTCTAAAAATGCAAGATCTCAATTTTTTATTTTTAAAGGTCTAGGGGGTGCCTCGGTGGCTGGGTGGGTTAAAGCTTCTGCCTTTGGCTCAGGTCATGATCTCAGGGTCCTAGGATCGAGCCCCACATCGGGCTCTCTGCTCAGCGGGGAGCCTGCTCCTCCTCTCTCTCTGTCTGCCTCTCTGCCTGCTTGTGATCTCTGTCTGTCAAATAAATAAATAAAATCTTAAAAAAAAAAAAAAAAAAGCAAGGCCTAAAAGCCCTACCCGGTGCCCGCCCACCTCCCAGTTCAAATAGATGGGGCCCGGGAATCTGCATTTTTACAAGCTTTCTCCCAAATCCAGTGTTTTCAATGACAGATGTTGGTTTAATATATCACTGCTGGGCCCTAATTCTCACCAGGGTGCTTACATCACCAGGCACACTTAGGGATATAGCCATGAATAACCCAAACTTAGTTCCTAAGCTAGTGGCTCAATATTGTAAAGCAATACAGTAATCAATAAACAAGATAATTTTAGGTAGTTCTGTAAAAACAATAAGCAATGGAAGGTGGGGAGTTACCTTTAGAATGGGTGGTCAGAGTAAGTCTCTCAGACTAGAAGGCATTTAAGCTCAGACCTCACTTACAAGAGCCACAACATGTGAATATGTGCGAGCAGAAACTTCTAGGCCGGGGGTAACTGCAGGTACAATGACCTGTCTCAGGAAGGATCCTTTTGTACTAGAGGAACTCAAGGCCAATGTAGCTAGATCCCAGAAAGCCAGGGAGAAAGCGGTAGGTATGGGGAAGGAGGCAAGAAGCAAACGCAGGGCCTTGTAGACTGTGGTAAGGATTTTAGTTTTGATATTAAGGGAAGCTGGTCCTGTATCTGGGTAAGAAAACAAATCAGGCTCAGCTTTCATGATCTTGATTCTCTTCTCACATTCTTAATTCAATTGTTTTACTCCTTCTTCACAACTCGTTATAGTTGATTTTTGTTCTAACTGCTGCTTTCAGTACCTTAAAATCTTGTTGACTATCATTATCTTTTTTGGAAGTGGGCAGTGGTAATAGATTATATGCACTGTTCAACAAACACTTAAATGGTAAAAATAAGTCACACCCTAGATTCTTGTAGAGGGGTACTAGAGGCATCCTTCACCCTGTTCCTTGAAAGCCCCAGGGCTTTTGCACTTGCTGTTCCCTCTGCCTAGCAGGTTCTTCCACCAGCTAGCCATGTGGCTCACTCTGTCCTTCAAATGTCCCCTTCTTTATGAGGACTGCTCACTCCACCCCCATATCATTCCCAGCCTGCTCCATTTTAACTACTATTAGTTTCCTATCTCTATTCCATTCTCTCTGCAGCATTTAATCACATTTTATGATTTTCCTATTCCCTCTCTCTCCCCACTAGAATGGATGCTCCATACCACGAGGGAGTTTAGACTTTGCGGTTAAAGATGTCACTGTCCCCAATGCCCACAAAAGTGCCTGGTACACACAGGTGCTCAGATTTTTCATGCGAATCAGTCCATGAACGAATGATTTACTTACCATTACCATCAAAAGATCAAAATACTCTAGCCAATCAAGGAGAGAGATGACTAATTTTTAAAACCTCCAAAGGATATTTAAATATACAGCATAGGGCACCTAGGTGGCTTAGTTAGTTAAGCGTCTGCCTCTGGCTCAGGTCATGATCCCGGGTCCTGGGATCGAGTCCCATGTACAGCTCTCTGCTCAGCAGGAAACCTGCTTCTTCCTCTGCCTGCTACTCTGCCCGCTTGTGCACTCTCTCTGTCAAAAAAGTAAATAAATTTTTTTTAAAAATTTTAAGTAAAAATAAGTATACAGCTTAAGGAGAAAATAATTAAAATCTTCCTGTTGAAACACTCTTTGCAGAGTGCCTAAAAAAAGGTAAACATTTGGGTGTTTGACCTACAAATCAAAATCCTGGCTAAAAATAGGCTGAAAAATTCAGTTAAGTTAAACTTTTGTATTTGGTTCATACTTTGTTGTACTGTTTTTGTTTTTATTAAAGTGGCAAAGAGATGGATGAAACCCTTGCCGAGTTTATCAAGAGGACCATCATGAAAATTCCATTAACTGAAATGATGTCAATCCTCAAAGCCTGGGATTTTTTGTCTGAAAAGCAGTTGCAGACTGTAAACTTCCGGCAGAGAAAGGAATCTCTTGTTCAGGACTTGGTTCTGCTCTGTGAGGTAACAGTGAGGGAAGCAGGGAGCCTGCTTCCCCCTCTCTCTCTGCCTGCCTCTCTGCCTACTTGTGATCTATGTCAAATAAATAAATAAAATCTTAAAAAAAAATTAATAAAAAACTAAGAGGTATATATAAGTATTATAATTGATAACCATTTATATACCTAGATACAAATGTATAAATATTTATATATAAATAAAGATGTTAACAGTCTTTTTTAAAAAACAAAAAATTGGAAACAGCTCTACGTAGGAGAATAAATAATGACACATCCATATAACAAAATATTCTTCAGACGTTAAAATGGATAAACTAGAACTTTACGTACAACGTTGAGAAACACTATATACATGAAAATGTATGTCGTAGGGCAGCGGTTTTTAATTAGGACAGTTTTGTCTCCCGGAGAACACAATGTCTGATGATGTTTTCGGTTGTGAGACCTGTGGGAATGCTCCTGGCTTGTAGTGGGTCGAGGCCAGAACGTTCCTTAACATCCTAGGACAGCCTTCCACACACAGAGTTGTCCGACTAAATGCCAGTCATGCCCAGTTGGGATCCCCTGATGCAGAGGAAGTTTAGAAGGGTACCGCTGATCAAAAAACGAAACAGGAGGCTGGTAGGGGGAGAGTGGGGAGTGCCTGGACAAAGACACTCGGCAAGACAGCATAGACTGGACACAGTTGCTCAAGCAACCCTAAAATTACTGTGAATGGAGCAGAACCAAATCATCACCACGCTCACGAAATATTTTCTCTCTTCTTTCAGGAGAGGCGTGCAAGTATCCACGACGCTGCCCTTTTAGACATCATTTGTGAGTGTCGGTACTTTGTAGTTACACTTCCCAGTCCCGCTTCTTCCTTTTTTTTTTTTTTTTTAAGATTTTATTTATTTATTTGAGAGAGTGAGCAAGTGAGAGAGATGGAACAGGGGGCGGAGCAGAGAAAGGAACAGAAGAAGAGGGAGAAGCAGAACTCCCCACTGAGCAGGGAGCCCCACATGGGACTCGATCCCGGGAACTTGGGATCATGACCTGAACCGAAGGCAGACACTTAACTAGCTGAGCCACCCAGGTGCCCCTGAAGACCGCAGTCCTGTTTCATAAGTGAAGCCCTTCTGTACGTAAAGGCTGATTCTTCAGTCGGGTGGACCTAGTTTCGGTCCCTCCTGTGTCACTTACCAGTCCCGTGTCCTTGGCCTGAGTCCCATCACCTTGCTGAGCCTAGACTCCTCCTAAGTAAAAGGAGAAAGCAGTCATACCTACTTCACACGGCGGCTCAGAGGCTTAAACAAGATAATGCTTGGAAAGCTCTTAGCACAGTCGCTGGCTATCGGAAGCACTTAGTAGACATTTGTTAGGCTTTGTTTTGTTATTAACAGAACTTGAAAATATATTTACAAGAATTTTTTCTTATTACAGTGTTTGTTATCTCCCCTCCCCTTCCCTTTCTTTGGGTTTTTCCCTTTGTGTCCTAGTTTTCTTTTCTGTATTTTTTTTAAGACGTCTACTCTCCTCCTCAAGAGGCACCAGAGTATAGGGTCTAAGAACATAGGCCCCAAGGCCAGATTTCTTGGATTCAGTTCATGGCTCTATCATTGTCTCCCTGTGAGTCCTCGGGGAGGCTGTTGACATCTCTGTGCCTCAGTATTGTCATTTGACAAACCCATGTCGTAATGATGATATTGCATAAGGTTATGATGAGGATGAAATAAGACTCCTGGTCAAGTTCTTCGAACAAAGCCTGGT